CAATTTATTTTTCCACTCATATTGATATTTAACTAATTTAAATCTAAATTCTGAACATTTTCTAAATTTTCATCGTATATCAGTTTTCCCTTAACAGATATTGCAAGCAAAGTAATTTAAGTAAAAAAGAGGAACATTTCTCAAATCAGAAGACAGAAATGCAATCATCCTTTAACAGTAAAAGCTTAACTACCCGCATACTTGAAAATTGGCGAATATTCGGACAGTGGAGTGTAACTTGAAAAAGAGGAGCGGATGGGGGGGGATAGACTGTAGCCATTCTTTAGATTTTTCCGCTAAATAAATGTTTTTGACATTTCGATATGTGCATCAATATATATAAATATATATATATAAACCAATGGAACAGAAAAATATTCTGCTTCGCAAGCACAGTAAAACTCTTTTAAGTGTTCATAAACAAATCTCAGACCGAACATCAAAATTAATTATCTCTGCAAAATATCGCAAACGTTATTGCACAATACGTGCACTGTAATTCTTCCCTACATGATATTATACAATCGGATTCAACAGCTGCCGGTATTGGGAGAATAAAGAACTAAATAAAGGAAAAGAAAGAGACTTACCAATCTGGGGTGTTTTTCATTCTAATTTTCAACAGACTGCATTAAATTTCCGGAATAGAATCATTCTTCGCTTGGGTTGGTAGACCACAGAACTTTTAGTCCTATTCAATCCAGATTGAAAAGTGACAAAAAAAAAGTCCATTGCTTGTTTTGCAGGGAACTGTAACAGTTTCAATATTCAAGATTTTGCGGAGAAAGGGGAGAACCTCCCAACCTTCGTACTGTATAATGTATTGGCCAAAAAAATGAAATTATTTTGACTATTCGATTACTTTCCTTTTATTTAAGCCATTCCGAATATTATTCATTGGAAAGCTAATCTGTGTTAAAACACAACCATTTTTGTAAGTTTATTATACTTCAGCAGTTACTGCAACTATGTTATTATAAGCATTCATACATATGCTCATAATATAAGCATAACGATCATAATAAACACGAATATGAACTGACCAAGCGGAACGAGAATGCAAATTATTAAGATCTTGATAGAAATTCAAACGTGTGTAGTATTTGGATAGGAGGAAAAGAATGCCAAATGTACCGGAATTTTCTACTGCTTTCGCAATTCTTTGACCAACAGAACGACGGGCACCTGTCTGTACTCTCTGCGCACACCAGAGGTTATGTTAATGCAGAGAAAGGGGAAAAAGCTATTTCCGAGAGTATGATTCACAATCTGACATTCCATATTAGGAAGAAAAGTTGTTTATTTAGTTTTGGCTTTGGTACGGAGAAAAATTGCACGTTCATTTAAAAAAAAGCACTAAAAACAAAAAATAAGGACTTTAAAGCACCTATAAGGGCCTTTATAAATATACTTATAAGGACTGCTACAAACCCTGTGTTAATGCAAAAAAAAAAAAAAAAAAAAAAAAAAAAAAAAAAAAAAAAAAAAAAAAAAAAAAGGGCATTATCACAGCTGTCAGCTTTATGGCCAGTTACCGAACATTTTGCCCATGCTGGTTTACACAAGGTTTTCGTGTGCCCAAACTGCCATTAAAAGCATCTCATCAGGTTTGGTTCTTACTGACATTAAAAGCATCTCATCAGGTTCGGCACATACAGCTGAATGGAGCAATGAAGATAGCCTGCCTTAATCCTTTTTGGTAACTCAGGAGATTTGAACGTAAGAATGACATGCTTTATAGGATGCAATGCACCATCTTTACAGAATTTCATTGTCTTGCACTACACACATTTTGATCTTCTTGGCTCTGCTCTTAACTCTTCCTCAGACACTGAAATAAGGTCTGGTTCAGAGATAATGCTACGACAGAAGTTTAAGGATTTGTGTGCTGACACGTTCACTGACACTTGGCCCCTTAATGTCATTTTCATTAAAGTTGCAGACTGTGTTGAGGAGCCTGTCTGTATAAGAAGGTCACCAGATCAGATATGCTTTATGTTCTTAGGCTCTCAGGCTACTACAGTTGTATATTTGTTTATCAGGAATGGAGACATTTTAAGGAGTTCACCTTTAGTATTGCTTGCAGCAACACACCTAGGTAGTAAATCAGTGGAAAATTCCTCACATTTGCATCAATTCATGATTTTTCTGTTATAATAATAACATTACCATTTGATTGAGAGGTTTTAGAGCCATGTTTGAAGATTAAGAAAGATTCGAACCCAGCAGCCCCACCCACCACAAGGAGATACAGACTTCTATGGCAGGGTTAACTAGGCCTTTATGCAATATGAAGCCCCCACAGTCAGCTTTACCGAAAGCAGGAACTTCTGAAAGCCACTGACAATCCCCAAGCCCCTGACGCAAATGACAAGTAACCAGCTGACTGACACTAGTGGAGATAACTAAGTGCCTCCCATTTTGATCTGAAGTAGAGGCCAAAGCAGTGTGTTGGGGTCACTACCTTGCCCCTCAAATACCAGGACCCTCCTTTCCAGCCTTACAAGTCACAACACACAGCAGATGCATAGGCAGTTTTTCCATGAGAAGCTAGAAACAAAGGAATTGTAACAGCTTCTCACTTTCAGTTCCAACCTTCGAAAATGAAAAACACAAGGAAGGAATAAAAGGGAAAAGAACAGATAAGGAGAGCTGAAAAGAAAAGAGGAACGATCACTAGGGCTTCAGGACCATGAACCCCCTCTCACCAGGAGAGTGAGATCCCTTGAAGGGCTAGGAAACCTCACGATGATTGCCCATCTATACCCCTGAGGGTTTGCCAGCAAATTGTGGTAAAAATATCTGTAAGAATACAGAATTTTGCTGGTGTAAATTGTGGTAAAAATTTCTGAAAGAATACAGAATTTTGCTGCCAAATCTCTAAAGGACGACGAACAATGTAAGGATGCAATTGCAAGTAACTACTGTCATTGAGGTTAGCATGATGCTGAGTCTCTGCAGTTCTCAGACTTTTTTGAAGCGATAACAGATCACTGTGTACTCACGGAGCATAGCGGAAAAATTACAGAAAAATCTTATGACAAATGTAGCTGTTTTATTTTTTTAATCTATCACATAATCCTTAATTAGTTTGGTTTATATGATTACGGCAAGGCACACGAAGGCTATTTACTAAAATAGGAGGGACGCTTTCATAGAGTTTTCTAAAGGAAACTGGTTCCTATCCAAGCCACACAGCTAGTCTTTTCGTCTAGAACAGGGCTTCTCAACCGGTGGCACGCAAGAGAAAAATGTGGTATGCAAAGAAGCAAAGTATTTTTAACTATTAAATTCAAAAACTAATACCCCGACATCTTTATTAAGTTTTTTTTCTAGCACTTGTAAATTTATGTGATCTGAGCTTTGTTCAAAAGTGGTGCTTGTAGTAGTACTTTGTAGTGGTGGTACTAAAGGTTTCCAATTTTTGTTTAGATGGTACAAGTTAGTCAAAAGGTTGAGAACTGCTGGTCTAGAACTTATCTCAAATCTAACTACCAGTGTTCAGTGACTTTATCATTTGACTGTTTGTGGTCTAATTCTTATTTAATAATTAAAATTTGTATCTTAAATTGCTAAAGTACGCTTTCTGTTTTATGGTTATGTTTTCTTAAACTGCTGAAGTATATCCTCATAGTGTAGATAATGTGTATATTATACTAAGACCATGGTCTTATTTGTATAAGAATTTGTAAATTTATGCATTTGTTTATTGGTTAGCATTTGATTTGTTTATAGCATTTATTGAATTACTGTTCTAGTATTGCATTAATTTTCTGCAGTTGTAAGTTGGGTTTCCTGTCCAATGATGTGCAGTCTTTGGCAAGTTATGAATTTTGTTAAAATTTCCACAAAGAAAAAAATTTCGTACACAAGTAGATTATTTTAGCGCAATTATATGTGAAACTGTTGTATTTTTCTGTGTAATATAACATAAAAAAAGTAAAGAGTTAAGCTATGTCTGAAAAGTAAGAATGCAGGCACAAGTCCATTTAATATTGAGTAAATAGGTATCTCGTAATTTGGTGAGCTTTCAGCAAGCTGGCAACAATTTTGGCAACTACTTTTTGACACCAAATTTGACAAGAAATCATAAAAAACACCAAAGTTTATGACATTTTAGTCTAGTATTTTTTGGTTGCCATTTTAGCAAGAGTCCCTAATAATTACATTTATTCAATTACAATACGTAATTGAATAAATGTAATTGATCACTATATTAGCTATAACCATAATTCGGCCCTCATATACTTTCCAGTAATTGTGAGAAGTAGAAAGTACTAGAAATATCTCATTAGCCAGGCGACAACTATATAAGGTGGGAGAAAGCATCTGTTCTTAATTGTTGCTGTTGCAAGTTGTCAGCGTGAGTTCGGACTACCGAGATATCTCTAGTCAGCTTTCTCTTTAGATGTACTTTGCACTGCATTGTGTTTAATGTTCGTAATAGTTTTGAAGTGTAACTACTGATAGTACTCTGTGATACAGTGAACTCCTGTACATATATTTCTGCGGAAAATTTCAGAACCCTCAAATGTTATCAACCTATCATTGAGGACCTGTATGCATTCAATACATTGCGAACCCGTACGCACGCAACAAGAGACATATATATACTAAAATTACTATTGCTATATATATATTCAATAAGCAGGATTTTCAACGAAATGGGCAATAATTTCTGATATTTTTTTAAATTCAGATCTAATTTTCTAAAAATCAGAATTTAAATTCTTATTTTAGAGCAGAATTTCCAGAGCAAAATACTATTTACATGTGTTATATAATATTACCAAAACACTTTTATTCATAAAATTAGTAACACACTAACCTTCTGTTTCCATTTTTATTCATTACACAAACTATTTCTCAACTGAAAATACTAAACTAATGCCGAAAACAAAATACATGAATAATAACATATCTACAGAAATTTTAAATTTCCATTCAATTTATTAACTTAAGATCAAAAGATAAATTAATAAATATCCAAAGAGAAATACCCAAAGGAAAGTCTTTAAGTTTCTCTGGTTTCTTATTTTCTTTCTTCTCCTCATCTGATTTTGGAATTTCTTTCTTCTCTCCATCTGATTTTTCATTTTCTGGAAAGAAAAAAAACTCTGACATAACACTACGAAAAAAAAAGGAGTGACAGTAAAAAATAATAACAAACGGAATTAATTTTAAAAGAATACACTTAATGATATACATTCTGAACTATTTTGCAAGAATCAAGTCGAAATATTTCAAGATTCCACGAAAATGTTCTGCAGGGTTCGTACACATTTTCTTACATGAAAATTAAGGACTTTTAAGGACCATCAAAGAAAAAATTAAGGACCTATCAGCTAACAAAAAAATGAATAGAATAAAGCAATTATCCATACAACCGACTTCATGCTTGTAATTTCACTTTAAAAAACTAACAGAAGTGTGTATTATGCACTATTATTAAATTCAACTTAATACTTACCATAAAACAATTTTGAAAATTAAACTAACTCCCTACAAGTTATGAAGTAGATAACATTAAATGAGGAACATAATTTCTTGAAAAACATGTATAAGTGTATTTTACACTAATAACAGTCACTATTTTAGAGATTTACATGATTATTATTTAACTTATTTGATATTTATTTAAACATAGTCAACTACTATTATAATCACAATGTAAGAATATTTTGCAGATTAAAATAACTGATTTGTAAACATACAATTTATTTCCTTGGTTTTTTGAAAGATACTAGAATAATAAACTGTACAATAAAAGATACAAAACATTTGTGCTTTTTTTTAAATCTGAAATCTTTTCAGCTATTTTAAATCTAATTTATTTATTTATTTCCTTTTCTTTAACTATTCTTCTAAGTTCATTTGCTTTGATAAACAAATCAATGTTCCTGATGGTCTCAGCTTTATCTGCTAAAGCATCTACTTCTTCATTAATGTCTTTAATGTCCCTTTGAGGAAAGTTTTTTCTTCTGCTTCATATAATCAATTTCTTCTTCAATAATATTTCTTTTCCTCTTTGAATTTTCAGATTTAGTTAAAGATTTTTGTTCTTCTAAATACTGAACTTCTAAATAACGAACTCCACTTCTTGCAGAAGCTGCTGCTGATCTCATTTCTTTATTAATTTCGATATTAAGAACACCTCCAGAAAATTTTATGTAATCAAATACTGTGCGTTGAAAAATGTATGATGAGTCACTTAAATTTTCAATTTCAATTGCTTTATTTACAGAGAAGCCCCTTTCCACAGAGGCCTGTTCATGTGACAAGATAAGAATACTTGTCACAGTGAATACTTGAATAGTGAAAATATACATTTTTTATATATATATATATATATAATTTATTTCCTAAACAATATAGATTAATTGATTATATTATCTCCTAAGTTTAATTAAAGTAGAATTATTTTAAAAGAGTGAATCCATACTGGTAAGTTATATTTGTATTTAGTATATATATGAATATAATATAAGTATATATATATATATATATATACAAAGTCCGAGATCCGGACATCTAATATCTGGAATGATCTAAAATCTGGACCTCAAAGCCACCACCAACCAATTTTTAGGGCTTTTTGAAGGGAAGGGGTAATGCTTTACGCACGCGCATTAGATTTTTTTTCCTCATCATAAAAAAAATGCCAGAAATCCCGATTCTTAATCTTCAGTTTGGTGCTAAATAAAATATCTCATTATTGAAGAAATAATTATTTTAGCATAAATTTGTGTGATTAGTAACTTGACTCCATAGCTGCGTATCTGCTTGGCATAATCTCAAACCGAAACATTTGTTAATTTTACACCAACTAATATTTTATATCCTTGATGCCGAAATCGCGAATCATTATTTATTGTATTTTGCTTTCATCACCGCATGTTTATCAACGAATGACAACTTGAGTGATGAATCATGCAGCGATGACGCCAAATAACAGAGTATTATACGATTACAGATTTAAATTTAATGCGCTAAAATGTTGACAAGGGGAGATTTAGCAGAAATTTCTTTCCTTATGCTAAAAATAGATTTTGTTAATGATACTCATAGGACAAACGATTATATTTAGTGCTATTTGAATTAAGAATAACTGATTTGTTATTCACATAAAGCCAGAACCAGCTCCAGAGCTCGCATGGCCGCACCAGGCGGCAGAATTTAGCGAAGTTAAACAGAAGTTTTTCATTGCAATGACAATGCCCAATCATCAATCAATTAACGGAGGGGGCGAATCTGTAGTATGGTTCTAAATCCAGAAAATACAGCTACCGATAGTGAAGAAAGTAACAGAGAGGTTACTGAACGAGAAAAAATTTTGATTGACAAGTTATTCGGAATTCTCGACACAGCAATTACAGGACTTGAACAATGGAACTTAATAACTGAACAAGAAATTATATGTCTGTAGTATTAGTCTAAAGTATTAGCAGAGAAAACAAATCAAACAACTCACATTGAAAGAAATGTTTAATAAAGTATCTCATTATTGAAGAAATAATTAATAATGAGAAATAATTTTTGTCCCAAGGATTAAATGCACAACAGAATCACTAGAAGAAATGATTATCTAAACACTAAAATATTTTATTAATGTAATGTTGTTTTTTAAACCCTGCTCTGTGACCTTTTTGATCGGTTCTCTTATGTGTGTGTGTGTGTGCATATACTGAGAGAGCTTAGAACATAGATCCAGACTGAAGAGGAGGAATTCTTATTGCGTAGAATGTTGAAATGTTGAATCCGAAATGTAATTAATTAGGAAACTTGGCAGTTGAGTAAGATTAAATCCTCATTTTTTATTTCAATTGACAGTTGTGGCCACAATTCACATGGCACTCTAATTATGCCTATTCAAGAACATTTACATTTTTGATACTACTGCGATAGGAAGGTTAGTTTAAGCAGCACACCAGTGTCTGAACAGCAAGAGTAGAAGCAAAGTGTACAATTATCCAATAAGGAAGCTCAACAAGAGAGGGTTTCGGTTTAAAAAGTTTCAGTTCTCAAAATTTTAAGTTCCAAGTTCCAAATTAGCATCATCATCAGCGTTATACAAGCCATGTGACACAGATTAATCTAGAAATGATGCAGTCCAGAAAAGTTATTTTTAGAACAGAAAGAGGGAAGTTCACATTGCAAATGATGAATTAAGATACTATTCTTATAAAGCTGATTTACATATTTTTTACCTTATATACATATAAAAGGGATGAGAAAGAACTGGAAAAAAATTTAAAAAATAAATAAATGACAAACCTTTAACATCTGCATCATCTTTAACTTCAGAATTAATGCCAATTTTAACACCAGAAACTTCAGTATCTTCAATCTAGAAATCAAAATTATACATTTTAAAAAAAAATCTATCCAAATAATAATTTTTTCTGAAAACCTACAAAATGGTTACATCACAATACAATATTTTTCACTATAGAAAAAAGGGCCAAAAAAATTACCTAAACCGACCGAAATAACCAATTAAAAAAAATACAGAGAGTAACATTTAAAAAGTACTAAATGAAAACAAATCACGTTTTCTATGTTAATGACACTGATTGAAGTATTCTAGCTTTTCAGAAGATAAGCTCTGTTTATTCAAATAAATGTAATTAATTAGAAAAGTTTCATGCATAGGCTTGTTTTTAAAATTCAGAGATACTTCTTTCTCCACAGGTTAAACAATGCACAGATTATTGTTTCGTTACCAATAACCTGTGAACACAGAGCTTATTTGTTACATTCTGTTGAAAACTTCGCTATACTGCCCCTTCTTTTAATTTAGTCTCATGAAGCTCAACAAACAGCACTTGTTTGATATCACATAATATTTATATATAACATTAATAAGTGTACTTCATTAATTAATAAAAAAGATTAATTAACACAAAATACACAAATGAAGACTAAATCTTCACAATTTGCTACAGTTTGTTTAATCAAATAAGGAAGTGAGTAACAATCTACTTTCTTTTCAGAAAGCAGTAATAATGCATTAATTTAATGTAGACAAATAAATTATATAGCTATGTTACAAACTCTAAATTACACACAAAGTATTAATGAATCAAAAACGTTATGAAAATTATACAAAAAGAATGATTTTAACTTTTTTATAATAATGGCACATGTCAAGATAAAAAATCTTTGATAACAAGCTAACATAAAACAGTCTAACTTAACAAAATAAATGCAAAATGTATCTAGAGTACTATCACAAAAAAATAATTATTTTTTAAATCCTTACAATAACAAAATTCTATATTATTTAATGCTGGAATCAAAACCACAGTTTGTACATGTTTATGATCTTGAAAAGCTTACTGCCCCCTGACCTTTAGAAGAAGTAAAATCAACATCAGGATGGATAATTTGGGGGGTTGTTTTCTGAAAACAACTAATTTCCATTGTGGGTCTCTTTTTACCAAGATATCTATTTTATAGGAATTTTATGTTATTTTCTCATCTTCAAAATTTTCACTTTAAAAATCAAGTAGGTTACTTTTATCATCTACAAAGTTTTGTTTTGTTTTTTATGTAAACACGGTATATTTTCTTAACTTGCTCCCCATAAAAGTATTTAATTTTTATTCTTTTCTCTTCAGACAAAGATCCCTTGATTTACATTAATTGCAGCAGCTGTCAGCAAGGTATCTTTTTAAACCTTTCCTTTTTGCTGCTGTCTCAATATGTATATGTAAATCTGTACATGTACATTTTCGTACAATACACATGCAAACATATACACTTAAGAAATAATTAAAAAAATTGTTTTAACAATTCAAAAGTAACTGATTTAATATTCAAAAGATTCACAATGACTATACAATACAAATTACGCATAGAAATATTGTAAAGGTTACTCAATTATTAAATACACAACAAAACTAGAACAGAAAAATAATGAGAGGAAATTAAAATGTTCTAAAGAGGAAAAAATGAAAGGATACATTTTTTTAAGTAAATAAATATACTATATATACATATGCTATTACACGCCTACATGCTGTAAATTCTTCAAGATTCCTTAAATAACCAGGTCATATAAAAGAGAAAATTTTAAATTATATTTCAAATCAATGTGATTATTTTATTAAATGAAGAAAGTAACTGAAAATAAACAAAGAAAAAGAAAAATAAACTGAAATTTTATTTAACATAAAATAAATGTCACAAAATGGCACTACTAGATTCTTCTAGGAAAAAAAGAAAAAAAAAAAAAAAAGAGTCATAGGATCTTGAAAATATGTGTTATGGTAACTTCCAGAATGATGCCAAATTAGTGAGAAATCGCCCTAAGTACCAGCACAGGTCTTCACTTTTTATCTCCAGTTCTCTATTTTTTTTCAATTCCAATACATGCAAATACAATATGGATACACACGTAAGCAGACATGCACAATAAGCACATTAAGTACAGATACAAAACTACAAAAAATGCACAACAAATATGCATAAAATTATCACACACATGCACTAAATAAATAAACTAAAACAAATTTACAGAAATATATATATATATATAAATCAGTACAGAAACAAACAAATGATAACAATTACATAAATTACAATACATATCGAGAAAGAATGGTGATTCAAAATGACTTAACTATATTTCAAATAAGCGTGCTCACATATTTATTAATTGCATGAAATGATCTCAGATCAGATCTCAGTTTTACATAATGTCATTAAAATTTTAGTCACATTTCTTTTAATTAAGTACTCCTGCTGTGAAAAATCAATCACAGTGACTGATGATTTAAATTTCACAAATAGGTTTCTATGTCATTAAATCTTGTTCCTTTTGGAGATACATTTAAGTTCTGCTGTTCTTTGATAAAACTGAATATCATGCATTAACAACCACATTTTGAATCACTTCATACCTAAAAAATACTTAATGCACATACTGTAAGCATACTTTCAAAATTCTCTTACATCTCTCTAATCATAAAGAAACATACAAAACAACATTTACCTCACTAATTTTAATGCTAGTGACAGCTTTTAAGTCAACTTTCTCAATCACAACTTTTGGAATTACTGTAAAAAAAATTAGGAATGCATTGGTTATTATCTCATAAACTTTAAAATGAAAAAGAGAGAAAAAAAGGCGAGAGAAAAGACATAAAAATATACCTTTCTGAGACGTAATGCTTTCCTTTAATTCTTCTTCTGTTTTGCAGTCTTCAATAGATTTTCTGGGCTTTAACAAAAATCAAAAAAGCCTAATATAGGGTGCATAAATACAAAGACTAAACGATTTACATTGTACTCCCCCCTTTTTTTGTTCACGACCTCGTTCTAAGCCAGCCCCCTTAATGCCCTCTCATAAAAATACATTAGGTATCTTCTGAATGTAATGTGTGCGTATCAATTAAAAATGCTTAACATTTTTACATTATTCATTGCACTTCATCGAATTAATAATTAAAACTTATCGACCAGCACATAAATAGAAAAAGAAATGAGACTTTTCAAAGCATTTTATTACCGTATACACAATGCTATATATTTAAAGAGTGTATCAGTTGCATGTTCTGTAAAATGTTAAATAAATAGTTCATAATTCCATTCCCTTGGAATTAAAAAATAAATATTTTTCTATCAAATACACGATTAGAAAAGCATGAAGAATTTCCCCATGATTTCACTTTCGTGCTAAGTCAAAATGAAATAACTTTATAAAATTAAGTTTAAACAAAAGAATATTGCCATTCATGAAGAAATAATGATGATTAAAAGTGCAGTGTATCATAATAATTCAATAAAACAGTTTTACTAATTTAAATTCAGGTAGCATTATTATAACATATTAATTATTAAAATTATTCAATTCATTGTAAGTTAAAACTTAATATTATGTTATATACTAAATGCTACAAGGCCAGCCTTCGTCTGGCTTTTAAATGTACCAGAAAAATGCCTAAGGGGAACAACAAACATCAAATTTAAAAACTGCACAGGATTTTACTCTTCAGAACAACTTTATATACATATAAAAGTAGAAGAGAGAAAGAAAGAAAAAGAAAAAACAAAAATTTCAATAAAATGTATTATATATATAAAAAATTACAATGAAATAAGCAATATATCCCTTAATACAAATATTAATTATCCTAATAAATAAATTAACCAACTTCCCATTGCAAAATCTTAAGAATTCAAATGGTATGAAGGAAGTTAAGAAACTTGTTTCCTAAAAAAAAAACCATGCAAAACGTTTTATATAATTAAAATAAATTACAATGAAATAAGCAACATTCCTTAATACAGTATTAATTATCCTAATAAAATATATTAGCTTCCTGTTACAAAATCTTAAGAATTCAAATGGTATAAAAGAAGTCTGTGTGTTTGTTCACTAATACTTCGCTACACATTTGGAAGAGCAACTCTCGCCTAACTTAACCCCTTGTGGTGCAAAATTTGAACAAGAAACCCTCATCAAAAATCAAGAATGGATTAACTCCCCTACTGTTAATAATTTAATCCCGCTCACTACTCCGGTGGAAGTATCTACAATAATCAAGAAACTCAAGCCCAGAAAAGCTCCAGGAATTGATAGAATTACTAATCAATCTATTAAATTACTGCCTCTTAACTTTATCTGCAAAATCACCAGTATTTTTAATGCAGCACTGACTAACTGTTATTTTCCGACCGCATGGAAAACTGCAAAAATTGTCATGATCCCGAAGCCGGGAAAAAAATCACACCCAGACCCGATGGTTACAGGCCAATTAGCCTTCTGCTGGTCCTCAGTAAAAGTTTTGAGCGCATCATACTCTCCAGAATCCAACACCGCCTGGATGCACTTCCTTCGAAGCAATTCGGACTTAGAAGAAATCTTTCAACTACTAAGCAACTGGTACGCATCATCGAATTTGCAGCCTCAGCTCTGCATAACATACAAAATGTTGGACATGGCGAAACCCTTCGACCGCATCTGGCATGAGGGATTTTCAATTCAAACCTAATGAGCTTCAACTTTCCCTCCACACTCCTTCACATCACCGAGGAACTTTAAAGTCTGTGTCAACGATGATCTCTCCACTGAAAGGAAAATTAAAAGCGGCATCCCTCAAGGCAGTGTTTTGGGACCTGTAATGTATATTTTCTATGCTGCTGATTTTCCCAAAATTAACTCTTCCAACTCCATCCTTGCCTGTTATGCCGACGACACGGCAATTGCAGTGAAATCAGCTAACCTCAACCACGCCATCAAAGTCCTACAGAAATTTTCACCCCATACATCGAAAACTGGTGTAGTAAATGGAAGATAAAATTAATGCAAATAAATCGCAACTATTGCTCATCAGAAGAAGAAAAATGAAGCCGCCCTGTAAATAACAACCTTTCTCCTGTTTAATGAAATTGTTCCCATAGTTCGCCAGGCCAAAATACCTCGGGGTCACTATTAATGATAAGCTTACCTGGACACCGCACATTAACAATGTCAGGAATCAAGCCCTGAAAGTCATTAATTGTCTCCTACCCATCTTAGGAAAATACTCCAATCTTGATCTGCGCAAGAAACGACTTATCTACTTGACTGCTGTGAGACCCATCCTCACATATGCATCTCCTGCATGGACTGTGGCAAAACCCACCGACGTTAATAAACTGCAAATTGTGCAAAATAAATTTTTGAGAATCACTACAAATGCCCCTTACTACATAAGGAACTCTGTCTTGCATAGTGATCTATGAATTGACACCTTAAAAAATTTCTTGCACAAGAGCAACGAAAACTTTTTTCAAAAAGCATTTAACCGCAGTCAACTGAACTTTTTTCAAACCCTCAACTATGAAATCCTTGCAGAAGACCAATTTCTACGTCCTTTTGCTGCATTTTAATTAAATGCAGACAATCATCGTGCTACTGAATGACTGCACATACCTGTACATATTTTACTGATTATTTTACTGTATTACTTTTATTTTTTATTCTATTAAACACGAATATATTCCTCAATAAGCTAGTTACAATTGCATATCTTCTGTCAACTGAGCACTACTGAGACTAATGAACTCTGTGCTAAGACACGCCCAGTGCTCATAAATTTTGGACTTCGCAGCAATTTCACGAACTGTTAGTGAAACATTCTTGTGAAATAGATTCACTAGGACTCTTATCCATTAGAGAAAAATATGTTTTCATTATTTGAATGACTGATATTTTTAAAAAACATATTTTTTCACAAGTTTACTGCCCCAGCCAATGGCGTGAACCCATAGCCATCAGATGACATGGCTCCACTTTTGACTTAGTTTTCTACGCTAATATTGTATATTTTGTAAATACTCATATTTAACCAAGATTCAATTATGGAACTTCTATCTGAATAACTTAATTTTATTTTGACTTTCATCATTTCAACTTTTATGCCTAATTTGTATTTTAGACCACCCCACAATGTAACACTCTTTAGTGGCAAAGTGCCACATTTTCTCTTATTTTCACATCTTGTCTCTGTGACACGTTTTGTTCTGTTTTTTTTGGTACTTCCAGGAACCCATATTGGACAACAACTGGCAAAAAGCCAGCAATCCTAGCAGGCTATGTCCAGATAACAGCAGAAAATGGAAAAAAATGGTTCACTAATAACTCAGTCACTACTACAGCTACTGCCACCAAACTTTCTACAATTCTTTTCTGGGTCCTAGAAAAGGGCAATGTCCACTTCCCCCCCAAAAAAGCTAAAATCAGAGATATTAACTTCTTTTAAAACACTAATTTTTGCCCTCATTTTTCCAGTGGCAACAGTGTTGATATCAGCAACAATGGCTGTGTGGCATTGTTGATATAATGAAATACAGTACAAAGTTCATAATCCGGACTCAGCGGGACTTCGGCGATTCCGGATTATAGATCATCAATTTAAATCTGGTAAAGATGGCATGCAGAAATTATACAATTAAAAATATGAAGCCGGAATTTATGAAATAAAGAGAAATTACGATCTAAAAGGTATCAAAATTTACAAAAAAAAAAAAAAAAAAGCTTAATATTTATTTGTTTACTTTAGTAAACATTTCTATCAATAAAAGTTAAGTTACTTCGTTTTTTGTGCTAATACTTTCTCTTTAATTCTATAATTAATTCTAAAAATAGACATAATTTTTTGTTCAGTTACGAAGTTCCACTGTTCAAGTCCTGTAATTACTGTGTCGAGAATACCGACTAACTTGTCAATCGGAATTTTTTCGTTTTCAACAATGTTCTCTGTTACTTTCTTTACTATTGGAAGCGCGCATGGGTAAACACTTTACTGGTTTTACACGCATGTGCTGCGGACGTGCGCATTAAACGTGCATGCGTAAACGCATTACATACATCTGTAAGTTTGTGGCATTGAGGTTTGGATTATAGATCATTCCAGATAATGGATGTTCGGATTACGAACTTTGTACTGTATAATGAAAGAGAATTATCGATTTGATGAGATTTCATTAAAAAAACCAAAATAAAAATAATCTCATTTGAATTTTGAAAAAAATCACTTTGAGGTGCACTGGCTCTTGTTTAGATGCACCTATGTACCAAATTTCGGAGCACTGGGTCTCTTAGCTTAGGTGCATCACAAATGAAAGACACACACAGACAGACTCTTCCTTTTACTATATGCAGAAATAAATACAAAACTTATGTTCAGATATAAAGATCACAGAAACACATAAAAATACCTACATTTTAGTTTCTTTTCAAAAGTTACACTGAGTTGGAAAGAAGCTGTTCTTTAGAAAATTCAGACTCTGGAGGGCAAGATACCTGCAACTCTGTATAAAAGTGAGTCATATGTACCACCCAATGGTACGTAACCACCACATAAATTTGATCAACTAAAGAATTCAGATATTGCCTAATAGTTCTATGCTGTTTTTTATTATGACATTTGGCAAGAGCTCACATTCTCCAAGTGTTCTGCAAGTGTATTACAATACTCTGATCTACAATATTGTTACGAAATGTCTAGGCGCGGTGAGATAGCTTCCCCGCAAAGCAGTTTTAGGGTTGCCATAAAATGGTAATATAAGGCATGGTTGCCACATTTGGCACGGTATCACTCATCTGGCGACAAAATTGGCATGGACAGATGGAGAATTTTCTGGAACGAATTCTTACCGGTTTAGCCCAGAATAATCTCGAACACCAGCCAAAAGCTATATAATAAACCCTGCTGCTATATATAAACCCTGCTG